TTTACACAACATAAAAATATTAGTTTCATTTGAGCTTCTTTTTTATTCATTTCAGAGCCTGGTGTTAGTGGCCCAGTGGTAGAGCTGTCAATCATATGATTTGTTGTCTGATGATGACTCTCTAAAAACATCTTTATGTCCCTGGAGGCGTGTCTCTTTCATGACCCAGTGTTGGTTTAATGTGGGAGGGGGAATAAGGGGAATTATAGCCATGGGTTGAATCTAAAGCCTGTTATTCTGACAGAAATATGAACGTTGTCCTGGTGCAAGTGTCAGGACTGTGATCAGATGTTCTGGATTAGGATTACTCTATTTTCTTAGTACCACAAACTGTTAACCTGATTGAACAGTTAAATTACAACGTTTAATTTCATAGAAAACATGTTCAACTGCTCTTTGAAATACAGCAGGTACGAGTTTAAATTTATTTCCACAACAGCACTCGTGTGTCCATCCTGCAATAGTTACTAACTCATAACTTTGAAAACTCGTATCTCGAAGCCCGACCGTACCTTGATGTTCTGACGTCCAACCATTGGGCAGATTGTTTCTAAAAGACATTTTAACACCTTTAATTCTAACGTGTAAATGTTTGTTTCCACCAGCTCCTCCTGTGATTCTCCAGCCTCCTGACACTGTGTCCCTGTCCCGGGGAAACACTGCCAGATTCGTGTGCAACAGCTCAGGTGAGCCCCCCCCCGTGTTACACTGGCTGAAGAACGGCCAACCCATCAGGCCGTTCAGACGAGTGAAGACCCAGAGCCCTGGAGTGCTGCTCATTAACCAGCTCGCTCTGGAGGATGTGGGTTACTACCAGTGTATAGCAGACAACGGCCTGGGCGTGGCCTGTGCCACGGCCAAGCTGACGGTCATTGTGAGGGAAGGTCTGCCCAGCCCGCCCCGTCAGTTGTCCGCTGTCCCCTACTCCAGTACAACTGTGCTGCTCACCTGGGAGAAGCCGGAGTTCAACTCAGACCAAATCATCGGCTACTCTGTGCACTGTCAGGGAGCTGCAGGTTGGTTTGACCCAGACCAGAAAAAACAGGACAGTTTGACCTTTGAAAATAATTGTGATTTTTCTTTTTATTCTTTTTTTTGTTGGTCTTTTCAGAATTAGATCACATGGAAGAACAATTTGCCATAAACAATGAAACCACGGAGCATCTCATCGAGGACCTTCTGCCTCATACAGCCTACACCTTCTTTGTGGTGGCCTATTCTCTCCGCGGTGCCAGTCCCCCATCGAAGCATGTGACCGTAGAGATGCTGGAGGACGGTGAGTTTTACAAATAAGTCTTGAGTCCTTTACTGTATCTCAGAGGTCAGAGTTCAACTCTGTAAAATCATACTATGACAGTGGATACGGTTCAAACGTGCTCCAGCCTAAGGCTCCCTTCTCCTCCTACAGTACCCAACGCCCCCCCTCAGCTGTCCATAGTCAGCACCTCCCCGACAGACATCCGACTGATGTGGCATCCGCTCTCCTCACAACACAGTCGAGGAGCTGTCACTCGCTACCGTATTGAATACAGCTCTCTGGATCAAGGTCAGTGACTAATGAATTAGTTTTAATGAAAAAATGTCTAGACACAACCTTTTCAAACAGCAGGCTCAGCATCACCATGAAATCAAACAGTAAACTAACTGAAACTAACTGAACCCAGTCAGAAGTTTCAGCCTAGTCTGGACCACAGGAGTCTGTCATGTTTTTACAGCCTGTGAATATTGATGTGGATGTTTCTGTGTTTCCACAGTGGACAACGTCTTCTCAGTGGAGGTGGGAGGGAATGAGACTCAGTTTACACTCAGAGAGCTGCAGCCCAACCAGCTCTATAGACTGAGGATTGCAGCCGGAACAGGCATCGGGTTTGGAGTCCCGTCAGAGTGGGCTCAGCACCGGACCTTAGCACACTACAACAAGAGTGGCCACAGTATGGGTAAGAAGGACGGCCAACCTGGGCAGGTCCGTCATGTAGAGTTTAACATTTTAACACCTTTGGAGTGAAGTCTTGGTTTATTAGTTGATCTGGTCTGGTCATCTGTAGAGGAATAGAAATTAACCTGTTCATGTCTTTTCTTATCTGGACTCAGATTACGAGTCGCATCTGGTAAAAAAAAACAACTCTGTGTTCTCCCTCTTCTTCTTTTTCCAACATATGTGGAATCATTTTCAGTGATATTTGCTCCCATCGGGTTAAATGTCAGTGCCAGAGAGAACACTCTGAACGTCACATGGCACCCCCCACCCAATCACACGCTGGTATCTGGGTACAAGCTCTCCTGTAGAGAGAGGGAGGCCGAGGAGCCGGCGAGCAGAGAAAGGCCCAAACAAACCCACATCATCAGACTGAGGAAGAAGGACAGGTTTCATCTGCTGACTGGGCTGGGTGAGTGAGAGTCTGGGTGAGAACCAGGGTTCCCTGAACCAGGGTTCCCTGAACCAGGGTTCCCTGAACCAGGGTTCTCTGAACCAGGGTTCCCTGAACCAGGGTTCTCTGTGTTACATCATGTCGTCTCTGAAAGAAAAAACAAAAAACCTAGTACCAGGATAAAACACCAAACCTATAACTTGGGCTGTAGAGATGAATCACAGTTGTTTGTTCCTGATAAGATGTTTTTTTTTACAAAATCAGCTCCAGACATATACGACCAAATACAATGATCCTTTATTTGTAAGAACTGTGCAAAAATACCTGATAAAATGAAATGACCTTGTGTTCATGTTATTGTTATTGTAATGCACTTAGTTTCTCCTGAGGTTTTGGTTGGTCCAAAGTGAGGCTCACATCTAAAAGTGATTTTCTTTCAGTCACATCTTTTTACGACCCTTCTTAAACCCAGTTTTACTTTCATGTGATCTTGTCTTATTGATTATTTGATCATATGATTTTATTTGATTGGCACTTGTTTTCACCAACACAAGTGATACATACACTTGTCTCCTCATGGTCTAACTCCGTCTTCTTCTGTCCACGTGTTCTTTGGTGGTAGTTCCTGACCAACAGTATGAAGTTAAAGTCTGGGCCTTTAACAAGCAGATAGATGGCGCTGCTGCGGTGTGGAACGGAAAAACAGAGAAGGTTCGCATAAAAGGTGAGGAGTCTCATCCTGAAGAAATGATGAAATGAACAAATATCACAGAATATAATAAACTTCAAAATAGGTTAAATCTTTAAAATAATTACATGTTTTCAGATCAGTTAATAAATAATTTTCTTAAAAGATACCTGCAAAAAAGTAATGTCTTTTTGACTTAATTTTGCACAAAATTTCCATGTACTAAAAAAATGTAAAAGAATATGAAATAAATGAGGTCTTCAAGACCAAAATGATCTGAAGTCAGAACGAGGCCTCGTTTGTGTTGCAGTGGTGATGACATCATGATTCTGTGATGAAAATAGATTTCTTTTCAGCATAAAATCAAAAATGCCCTTTGAGATTTTATAATGAAAAGAAAAACTGTTGAATCCTCCAGGTCCAACCAGGAGAACTGATAAAGACACTCTGTGCATATATATTATTATATTGTTATACATATGTTACATACATATGTTACATATATGTTATACATATGTTACATATATATGTTACATATGTGTTATATATATGTTACTATATATGTTATACATATGTTACATATATATGTTACATATATGTTATATATGTGTTATACATATGTTACATATATGTTATATAGAACAGCCAACACAGTCTTTGACATGTGATATGTTATATATGTGTTATACATATGTGTTATACATAGGTTACATATATATGTTACATATATGTTATATATGTGTTATACATATGTTACATATATGTTGTATAGAACAGCCAACACAGTCTTTGACATGTGAGCACTAACATGAACCTGTGTGTGTGTGTGTTGAAGTACCCTATATACCCCTCCCTCCGCTGCCACCCAGCAGTGTCCAGGCCAAGGCCAACAGTTCCACCACCGTTTGGCTGCGCTGGGAGAAACCAAGGTTCAGCAACACACGCATCATCAACTACACCGTGCGCTGCAGCCCAGCGGGAACCACGAACGCCTCTCTGGTCTCCTATCACACCAGGTCAGGACCTTTGTGTTGGTCAGAGATCACAGAAGAACAACATCTAAGAGAGGAAGATTTTATTTTTGGTTTTAGCAAATCTGTGTCAGAGTAAAACGTGTTAGAAACCTTGAAGTTTATTGGAAACTGTGATGATTTGTTAACCAGCAGCCAATTAGGGCAGAATGTGTTCACACTCAAAACATCAAGTACTTTAAAAATACTAAACTGTGAAGATGAAGTGAGGCTTCTGTTCCACCCACAACAACAACAACAACAACAACAACAACTACTCTCTGCTGTCTGTACACAGTTCTGCTCAGGAGATTCTGCTGCGGGCGCTGAAGCCTTTCACCCGCTACAGGTTTGCAGTGCAGTCGAATGGAGTGGACGTGGTTGGACCTTTCAGCGGCACCGTGGAGGTGTCTACATTTGCTGACCGTAAGTCTGCTCTGTGACCATCATGGATGTAAAAATACACATGAACCAGACGCTGAAGTTCTGATGAGCAGCACCGAGCTTCAACGTCTGACGACTGATATTAAAACAAATATAGACAGTGAAGGTCAAATAATACTATTCAAACTCCCTGTTGAAAGGGTTTCTCTTTCGGTAGTTTTTCCTTACCCTGGCTGACGGTCTAAGGACAGAGGATGTTACCAACCCTGTGAAGCCCCATGTGACAAACTGTGTTTTGTAAATGTGGGCTATATAAATAAAATTTGATTTGATTTCATTTTCTGTAAAAGTCATAAAAAAAAATAAGGGATTAACCCAAAATTAACAAAAATGCTCTAACTTGTCTTAGAATATGTAGCAATGTGTTTTTAGGCCTCTTAACTGATATTCATTTGAAATATCAAATAGTTGCTGCTAGTTTTTTATTAAATAAAATATTCAGTTAAAGCTCAAAACTGGTTTTGGTTTTGTTTGTAGTTATTGTTTACATTTATTGTTATTTTATAGAAAGAACTTCTGTTCATCCCTAGTGAAAACCATTATCTGAAGAGTGTGTGTTTGTGTGTGTGTGTGTGTGTTTGTTCATGTTCACTCATCACTCACTCATGCAGAGCCCAGTGCAGGCTGGGACGTAGACCCGTGACATGAGAAAAGGTGGTTGGCATCGGTGGTTTGTAGACCACCCAGGTGGTCTGTGGTCTCCAGCCAGGAGGGGGCAGTGATCGTTGACCAGAAGGCTTTTAATGACGTTATTACCAGCAACACATCATCACCTGAGCCCCAGCCCATTGCCCTAAATGCCCCTCTGTCCAGCACCCATGTGGCAAGAACACGGGGACCCAGATGGTTGTCTCACATGTCACCCCCCCCCCACGCCCCCCTCCCCCCCAGCTGTGAGACCTCAGGTCCTCTCCAGAACCCTCCACCCCCCCAGAGGGGCTGCAGCTGAGTGTTGTGGACTCCTCCTCTGTGCTTGTGAGCTGGCGCCCTCCCTTGGAGCCCAATGGTATCATCATCAGCTACATGATTTTGTACAGCTTTAACCTCAGCGAACCAGAACACCTTTGGAGAAACATCTCACAGGACGGTCGGTGTTTGATCTCGAGACACAAACTAAGTTTTGGTAGAAAAAACAGAATTGTCATAAAGATGGACAGAATCTGTGTGTTTCAGGGAGTATTACCAGCCTTGAGGTCCAGGGTTTGTCCAGCGGAACCCAATACTTTTTTAAGTTGGGGGCGTCGACAGAAGTGGGCTCTGGTCCGTATTCAGCAGTGAAGGATGTTCACGTCCCCCTTCAGAAATATGGTACTTCATCATACTTTTTATCTTTAGTGTAACAACATCAGACTGTAACTGCAGTACTTTTCTGTTCTCTTCTGGTGCCTTTAACAGTCTAGTGTAGAAATCAAAGGGCAGTGTCATAACTGACCCTCAGGGGGCGCTCTGTAAGCTGACTCTTTCTAGAAAAATGCTGTGAAAGGACTTTCACCTTGTGTTTAAGAATAAAAACTCAACTCTGGGCTTTGTTTAAATTTGACACAGTTCAGCTCTTTTTTGTTTTACCTGTAATTATTATTGGTCATTTTGTTGTAAATAACAAACCACTCGCTCCCCTGTGACCCACCGTGTCATTAATTTATATACGACCCGTACGCTGCAGGCTGAGGTAAAGCCATATTCATTTAGATGAATGTCTGCTCTAATCCTTACTTGGTCGACACGTGCAGTAAGAGCTCAGGCCAACACCTGCATCAATGAACCTCCTTTATTGTCTGCTGTTTCCAGTCAGATGATTTCACAAAACCACCTTTGTGTTTTTCCCCTCCGTGTCTTCTCCTGTCACAGAGCTGGACGTCCACACGGTGATAGGCATCATAGTGGGTGTGTGTCTGGGCCTGATGTGCATCCTCCTCTGTATGTGCTTCAGCTTCCGTAATGGAAAATCCCGGTTCGTTTGTCCAGCGCTCACTTTTCCAACTTTGATTCTCTGTGGTACAGCTTTCTTCTCTTTTTAATTCAAACACATGTGCATCTCTGGGCTGTCCCCTCACAGAGACATCACCAGGGCCGTGGACTCCACATCTGTGGCCCCTCAGTACAGGAGAGGCGGCAGCGCTGTACCCTCCAACTTACCAGAGTGCAGCGAGAGCCACGAGCTTGAGACCCTGATGCCCCCGGGCAGTCAAGAGTCCATTCAGCCGTTAGCAGAGGCCCCAGAGGAGCAGAGCCTGATGGCACGAGCCAATCCAGAGGAAGGGGAGGATGGCCCTGCACCTGAGACCAAGGTCAAAACCTGTGGGGGGGTGGGAGGGGTCACACCTACTTTTCCAGATGGGACAACTCTTTCCTTATTCCCTGTGTTCACACTGGCATCAATGGAACAGTTTTATGCACCTCTACTCTTCTTCCTGTAGGTGGCTTGGAACGGCTCCGTGAGTCATCACTGGACCAATCGAATCACTACATACAGAGACGCCGTAACTGAAGCCTCTCCAGTGCTTATGAATGGAGCAGTCATGACAACCACTGATAACAGCAGGGTAAACTGATCCAAACACAACAATGATGTTAAATTTGACCTTTTCACTCAGTATGGAAACAAAAATGAATTTATGTCAATTTGCACCTTCATCGTTCTAAAGTCGGTCAAACATTCAAAACATTTTTTACTCTAGGTTTTTCTTTTCTTGCTCATGAGACAAACCTTTTTGGTTTTGTATTTTTCTTTTGAAAATTGCAGGCCCCAGATCATCTGTGTAATTCACTGTGCAGTCACAAGGTGGAGGCAGAGGTCATAGTTCACTCGGAGCTGTCAGAGCTGCAGGGAGAGAGAGAAAAGGAACAGGAGGAGAAGAAGAAGTTGGAGAACAGTGAGAGGGACAGATGTCCACACACCAACAGCAGTCAACCCTCCACACCCGACGACTCGTATTTCCACGTGATCCGACCAAGTCTGCATGGAGAGAAGGGAGCTGCGGAAAAACCTCCCCAGGCCCAGCCCCCCCCCGCCATGTCAGCGGGAGACGACGGTGGTGACGTTGAAGACTCCAGAGCGCCAGAGGAGTCCAGCGCTAACACAGAAGCGCACCATGACACGGGGCTAACCAATGGCTTCCACTCTCCCAAGACTCTGCCGTCTGTGCTGAGGTCGGAACATCTGGAGAACGGAGATTCCAGACACCGTCCTTCAGCACCAGGAAAGTCCGTCTCTGTCGTGTTGTCTCCTGCCCCCTTCGTCAGCTCTGGCTTCGTAAACTCTACCTCAACTGCACACAGTTATCTTTGCCCGTAGCACTTCTGTACAGGACGTAACACACACACACACAGATTTCTGACTGATTTTCTGGAATAATTACAAAAATTCCCGGCAGGAATCTCCCAGGATTATTTTTTATGCAGCTCATATTTGGAATTATTTCTCTTCCTGGCAAAGTTTTTATATGACCTTTAAGTCTGTTGTTTCGTGTGTGTGTGTATACAGTCCACGTAGACGGTATATTTTAACGGTAGAATACTGTATATACACACCACACCATCGTCTGGGTCTCCTTTCTATGCATCGGAGAGAGAAGATTATCAGATGGTGCCGACTGCAGCAGGCTTTTCCCCTGATTCTGGAATACTAGGAAGCCAAGAAGCGTTCCCAGAGTGGATTAGCGCTGCAGCAGGAGATTCAGACGTGACAAACCCAGCTTTTCCATCGTGTGAAGCCGCTTTACTGCGACACCGTGGAATAAGCCATAAAGAAGTTCTGCATGACCTAAGGATGCAAAACACCTGTGTGTGTCTCCTGCCTCCGACTGTCTCAGGGTTCACACACACACACACACACACACTAAAACACAGGATCTACAGTACACGTCGTGACGCGTTTCCTGACTGGAGTCTCAGGTGCCTGAACATTTTAGCTGTCTTTGTAAAATCTGTACATTTCTGTAGATCATTGGATTCTGAACAAAACAAACACACAGATTTGGTGCACCAAAAATATTCCTTTCAAAAACTGTGGTTTATAAAACACATCCACCAGGTGGAAGAAGAAAGTCGCTTTTTTACGTTTCCTGAAAGTTCCAGTTAAAAATGCACAAAATTCCCACTGGCATTAAAATATTGTGCCATTTTTGTGGCAGACTGTTTGTGTTTTTAAAATTGAGCCAATACTTTATTATAAAGTATTTTTTTCCAGGGGTAAAACAAGGATTTCCTTTATTTTATTACCCTGTTTTTAGTCCAGTCTGCCCAGAAGTTAAAAAATCCCACATACATTAGTTTTCTTTTACATTTAATTAATTTCTTTTTTAATCAGGTTTTTTTTTTTTTAATTGATCAGAAATTGAAGATGGAGGGAAAACCAACAGCTCTACCTCAGTTCTTTTCAGGAAACTTTTCAGCCTCGATTTATTCCAGTCATGATTCACCTCAGGTGTCCAACAACTTTTTTTTTTTGTTTTGTTTTGTTTTGTTCTTCCTTTTCTTTTAACAACAAAAATGATGCTTTATGTTGACAGATATTTATGTCACGTGTGGGTCCTGTGTTGCAGGAACACCTTTGATCCGTTGATCACTCTGACACCAACCATGGACAAGGATGTCACTAGTTCTTGTAAACTGTGCAGCTGATTGAACATGGAAAAAGTTTGTAAAGAGTTCCGGTTTCTCCGTCTTTCACCTACTTTTCCCTTAAAGTTGGAATTGTTCCACATGGGAAAAATGTGAGGGAAACTCTGGACTCCACCGTTTTATCAGTATTATCTCTACCACACGTTATTGTACAGTTTCCACCTGCAGTACAACCCACTCTAGTGACTTCAGTTCTATAATCTTCCATCCAATTATTTTCTTCCCACTAATTCCTTTGTCTGGAGGTGTGGGTCACATCCCCGTCTTCTGTCTTCATCTTCACTCTGGTCCTCCACTCCATCACCAGTGAATTCCAATAGTTAATAGATGTAAAACATCCCAGAGACTGGACCCTGAAAAAAAAGGCACAAATCTTCAACAGCTCGGTGACAGCATTTTCTTAAAGGGCAGATGTTATAAACTGATCACTGTTGGACGTCAGCTGTAAATCTGGCTGGTGTATTTGTGTGTTCCACCAGCAGGGGGAGTGATAGAGATCCATGGGGCGCAGAATAGATTGGTTGGCTCTTCTGGGAACTGTTAACAGCGTCTTACAGTGTAGTAGTACTTGGTTTTAAAGAGTACAGTTTCAGTTAGTGCAGTATTTACAGTAGATCAGACCTGGTGAAGTTCATTAATCAACGCTGGTCCTTCAGTCTCTACATCATCACCTCCAGCAGCAGATGTGGAGAATCTGTGTGATTGTTGGTGTCAAACCATGAATATGAGCTAATGCTGAACATAAAGGTTTTAAATCACGATCAGGTTCACCTTCTGTACGTTTCTCTTTCTGTTCTTTCATTTTCTGATTTCATCTTAACTAGAGATTAAAAAAAGAACTCTTGATGTATATACTCAACAATAAGACAACAGTAATACTGTATTTTTGCAGTAGAAGTAATATAGTGACAGAAGTGAATGTGCTGTTACCAAACCTGGGTCCAACTCTGATGAAAGGTCATTTTAGGGTCATTTGGTGAAATTGTAGATGATCTGTAAATGTAACGCAGTCTATAATACTGTGTGTTTCTGAAAGACACATTTGTACGCTGTCCAATCAGTGACGTCTGACATGGTTTCCATCACTGTGATTAATAAATGTGGAAACATCAGCGATGACTCCACGACAACAACTAGAACCAGAACCAGAACCAGTTTTCATCCTCAGACTCTGTTGGTCCAGAGGAATTCTGTCAATCATTCCACTTTCTACTAGTTCTACATGATATACCTCTGAGTGTAACTACAGACCGTGTCTGTGCTGCTCTGATGGAAACACAGACTCCTGTGGTTGAAATACCATCAGATTCCAGAGACACCCCCCCCCCAGTAACACTTACCAAACCCATCGATCGATATTAGTAAAAACATTGTTCTAGTTTGTAGATCAGAAAAGACAGATGTGTGTGAGGCATCACTGGTTCAAAGATCACAGTGTTACAGCGTGTCATGGAAACAACACCTCTGTACGTCCACATGGATGGATCTGGATACACACACACACACACACACACACACATATATATAATGCAGTATATACCCATATGTACGTGTGTGTGTATATACTGTATATATATATACTGTTGTGTACATGATTGTACCAGAGGGATATCAAACAGCTGAGGTTGGGCTCTGATCAAAGGATCAATCACAGTGGGGTTATTTCCATGAAGTACAGTACTTGGTAGTACAGTACTTGGTAGTACAGTACTTGGTAGTACAGTACTTGGTAGTACAGTGATACTCTGTGCTCAGTGTAGTTTTAATGTGTGTAGTAATACTTTGTCCAGTTTGAGAAGGACCTCAGTAGATCTGACCAGGTCCACGTCGGGTTCTGATCTGGATCTGGGTCTTGGACTCTGTCGCCTCGCTGTTGTTTTGTGAGTCCACTTTTTACAGGACAAAGTTTTGTTCCAGTTTGTGACGAAGACAGGTGTCATTTATAGTAATAAAATGAAAGTAATAAATAAATAATACTCTTACACTTATTTTGCAATAGTGTTGCCAAAAATAGAAGTACTTTAGTAGTACTCTACGGTAAAACTCTGACTGAGTGTCAGCCTCAGAGTCTTTAGTTGTTAACCAGGTGTTGTTAACCAGGTGGTGTTAACCAGGTGTTAACCAGGTGTTAACCAGCTGACACCTCTCAGTGCAGACAGCTGATAAGAAACATTTGTCTGTTCTCTACTCAGGTCTCTCATCTCTGTATAGTTCTTTTCTAGGACCAGCGTATCTGACTCACGTCCTCTGTTGTCTTTGATCCTCACTCTGTCCTTTGATGACTAACTGAAGGACACGTTTGTGCAGAGATGATATTTTGCTCTTCTCTGTCCATCATGGTGCTCTGTGGTGACCTCTTGTGTCCAGTGATGTCACACACTTGTGCATATTTTCTCTGCGTCTTTTTTCCGTGTGTGACAGCTGATCTGTGTCTGAACGTGTCAGCATGGACTCACACTCTGGGTCACGTCCCACCAGCAGTACGACTACTCAGATACCTTCACTGTCAGTATCCCAGCTCTACTGTGTGTGACGTCAGTGTCCTACAGCCTGGTCTGTGGTTTTATGATGGAACGTTTCTTGGTCTCTGTCACATGATCGGTAGAACTTGTGGTTTGTATTGTTACCATGATGTGAACATTTAAACCTGCGACTCTCAGAGTATCTGTGGAAACAACTCTTCTGTAAATAAATATCAAAACGTTCAAGTTTGGGAGTGATTATTGGCTCATCAGTCACACCACACCCAAACCCTGTGATACTGCCATTGTTTATTCTTCTGTCTCATTATTTTATTATTATTATTATGTTCATTCATTTATTCATTCACCTGCTGCCTCTTATTCCGTTGCAGGGTCAGTGAGGAGCTGCAGCCGATCCACGCAGTCAACAGGTCAGAGGGCAGCGTTCACCCTGGACCGTTCACCCAGCTGCGTAAGAGACAAACAATTAACTATTATTATTACCTAACTGTTAACTATTAACACTCACATTCACTTTGGCTAAATAAGACATTGTTTATGTGGAGATTATTTTTAACATAAGTTATTCATGACAACAGAATGTCAAACATAAAACATCATTTTAAATAGTGAAATAGTTGGAGATCCCTGTTCCATCTGTCCCCTGAGCTCTGAAAAGTCTCAACTGTTCCTGCAGCAGCCCAGACCTAATGTATCATCTTGACATTTTAAATAACAATGCTTTAGACAGATGATTGATTAACATTGTCAATAAATGGTGCGTGAAATTTACAACCATTTATCCGCGCTGTTTTTCTGAAGCTTAAAATGTTCCAGTCTGTGAGCCTCCAATTAGCAGAAGCTTCGTTTGCTGCTCCTGTCATCGCTACCTCTGATGAACAGCTGCTGGTTACAACATGAGTGACGTAGAATTCAAGTCCCGTATTGACCAGAAGAGGGCGGGCTATACTCGAGCCACAAAAGAGAGAAATCATGCACCAGGGCCTTACCCAAAGAAATCTTGTATTACTCCACTTGAGGGCAGTGTTGTCCTTCGCACTCGTGTTTCAAAAGGACCCGCACTAATATGATGCCACTCCCAGAGTCAGAGCCCGTTCAACATCATTCACCAGCTTGGGTTATAGCGGGGTGAGGTATAGATAAATGCGTACATGCAGTTTTAGTTTGTCAATTCAAATGACCTTAAATGTAAAAGGAACGTGAGTGTGAGACCTGTTGGTGTTGGTGACAGATGTGAAAGGCTTTGTTACAGAAAACAGAGAGTGAAAGGTGAAGGGTCTGCAGGGAGCACAGTAGACATACACCTCAGTTAACCAGTGCTGACTGTGCCATAATCACACTGATGTTGCCCACAGGACACACAGGACGCCGTCACCACGCCACGCCTCCAACATCCAGATGACTCATGGTCCACAGCGTGTTCGCCAAATTTGGACATCATCCAGCTAAGTCGCTAACCTCCGTGCTACATCATTGTTAAACATCAGATGCCAAAGTGCCTGTTTTGGCATTGGGTGCCATATTGTTCTCTCTCTCCCTCTCTGTCTGTAATATGTGTGAACTTGATTTGTGACTCCAGCACTGAAGAGGTCTACCGCTGTTTCCGTGTGCCTCATATTTCATCAGTGAAAAAAATTTAGAAAAAAAATTTAAGAAAAAGAAAATTTGAAAAAAAAAAAAATTTGAAAAACATTTTGAGAAAAAGTTTTAGAAAATGAAATTTGAAAAATCAAATTTAGAAAAAAAATTGGAAAAAAAAATTGAAAAAAATTTTTTTAGAAAACATTTTGGAAAATGAAATTTGAAAAAAAAAATTTGAAAAAAGTTTTTAGAAAACATTTTGAGAAAAAGTTTTAGAAAACAAAAATTAAAAAATAAAATTTGAAAAAAAGTTTTAGAAAATAAAATTTGAAAAAAAAATAGAAAATAAAAAAAAAATTGAAAATTAAAAAAAAAAATTTTGGTCCTGTGTGCCTCATATTTCATCAGTGAGGCGTGTGGAGCACACAGTGTCAGCTGAGGGCTGTACTAATGAGGTGGAGCTCACTGCCTGTGGGGTAATAACTATGTGAGGCTCTTGAATCAAACCATTCATCCTGCTACTACACTCCTACTCCACTGCACCTCCAGCCGGCACTGCTTGAATGGCTGCCAAGGTCATATGTGACCCCTATCAGTGGTACAAAATTGACATTATTTTCTAAAAACATTTTAGAAAAAAAAAATTTTTTTTTTTTGCTAAATGTTTTTAGAAAATAATGTTAATTTTGTACCACTGATAGGGGCCACATATGACCTGGGCAGCCATTCAAGCAGTGCCGGCTGGAGGTGCAGTGGGGGAGGAGGGTAGGAGCAGGATGAATGGGTTGATTCAAGAGCCTCACATAGTTATTAGCCTTACCATCGTGAAAAAATCCAAAAAAATAAAGTCCCCGAAATGCCTTAAAATGGAAGATTAGGTCCTAAAACATGCTGCTAAGTGATTATTTTGTGTTTAAAACTACAAAAAGTATTTTATATGAATATTTGAAAAAACCCCCAAAAAACTTACTATAGCCCTTTTTTTCTAAAAAAAATTTTTTTTAGAAAAAAATTGAAAAAAAAAAATTCATATAAAATACTTTTGGACATTTAAACACAAAATATTCAGTTGGCAGCATGTTTTTGGTTCTAATCTTGCATTTTAAGGCATTTCGGGGACTTTTCATTTTTTTGGATATTTTCACGATGGAAAGGCTATAGTAAGGCATGTTTTGGGTGATTTTTCAAATATTCATAAAAAATACTTTTTGGAGTTTTAACACAAAATATTCACCTGGCAGCATGTTTTAGGACCTAATCTTGCATTTTGATGCATTTCGGGGACTTTTCATTTTTTTGGATATTTTCACGATGGAAAGGCTATAGTAAGGCATGTTTTGGGTGATTTTTAAAATATTCATAAAAATTACTTTTTGGAGTTTAAAACACAAAAGAATCACTTGGCAGCATGTTTTTGGTTCTAATCTTGCATTTTGATGCATTTCGGGGACTTTATTTTTTTGGATATTTTCACGATGGAAAGGCTATAGTAAGGCGTGGTTTGGGGGGTTTTTTAAATATTCATAAAAAATACTTTTTGGAGCTTTAAACACAAAATATTCAGTTGGCAGCATGTTTTTGGTTCTAATCTTGCATTTTGATGCATTTCGGGGACTTTTTTTTTTTTTTGGATATTTTCACGATGGTAAGGCTAATAACTATGTGAGGCTCTTGAATCAAACCATTCATCCTGCTACTCCACTCCTACTCCACTGCCCCTCCAGCCGGCACTGCTTGAATGGCTGCCCAGGTCATATGTGGCCCCTATCAGTGGTACAAAATTAACATTATTTTCTAAAAACATTTAGAAAAAAAAAATTTTTTGAAAAAAATGGCTTATGTAAGTTTTTTTGGGGGTTTTTTCAAATATTCATAAAAATTACTTTTTGGAGTTTTGAACACAAAATAATCACTTAGCAGCATGTTTTAGGACCTAATCTTGCATGTTAAGGCATTTCGGGGACTTTTTTTTTTTTTTTGGATATTTTCGCGATGGTAAGGCGTGTTTTGTGTGATTTTTGAAATATTCGTAAAAAATACTTTTTGGACTTTTAAACACAAAATATTCAGTTGGCAGCATGTTTTTGGTTCTAATCTTGCATTTTGAGGCATTTCGGGGACTTTTCATTTTTTTGGATATTTTCACGATGGAAAGGCTATAGTAAGGCATGTTTTGGGTGATTTTTCAAATATTCATAAAAATTACTTTTTGGAGTTTTAACACAAAATATTCACTTGGCAGCATGTTTTTGGTTCTAATCTTGCATTTTGATGCATTTCGGGGACTTTTTTTTTTTTTTGGATATTTTCACGATGGAAAGGCTATAGTAAGGCGTGGTTTGGGGGGTTTTTTAAATATTCATAAAAATTACTTTTTGGAGTTTAAAACACAAAATATTCAGTTGGCAGCATGTTTTTGGTTCTAATCTTGCATTTTGATGCATTTCGGGGACTTTATTTTTTTGGATATTTTCACGATGGAAAGGCTATAGTAAGGCGTGGTTTGGGGGGTTTTTTAAATATTCATAAAAAATACTTTTTGGAGTTTTGAACACAAAATAATCACTTAGCAGCATGTTTTAGGACCTAATCTTGCATGTTAAGGCATTTCGAGGACTTTTTATTTTTTTGGATATTTTCGCGTTGGTAAGGCTATAGTAACGCGTGTTTTGGGTGATTTTTAAAATATTCATAAAAATTACTTTTTGGAGTTTTAACACAAAATATTCACCTGGCAGCATGTTTTAGGACCTAATCTTGCATTTTAGTGCCTTTCGGGGACTTTTTATTTTTATGGATTTTTTTCACGATGGTAAGGCTAATAACTATGTGAGGCTCTTGAATCAAACCATTCATCCTGCTACTCCACTCCTACTCCACTGCCCCTCCAGCCGGCACTGCTTGAATGGCTGCCAAGGTCATATGTGACCCCTATCAGTGGGACAAAATTGACAATATTTTCTAAAAACATTTAGCAAAAAAAAAAAATTTTTTAGAAAAAAAGGGCTATAGTAAGTTTTTTGGGGGTTTTTTCAAATATTCATAAAAAATACTTTTTGGAGTTTTGAACACAAAATAATCACTTAGCAGCATGTTTTAGGACCTAATCTTGCATTTTGATGCATTTCGGGGACTTTTCATTTTTTTGGATATTTTCACGATGGAAAGGCTATAGTAAGGCATGTTTTGGGTGATTTTTAAAATATTCATAAAAAATACTTTTTGGAGTTTTAAATATTTTTCATGTTGTTTTTGTTCAAAAACTAAACAATTTTAATAAAAGATTTTTGAATAATTATTTTTAAAAATGTTATCGTTACGTGCATATTTCTCATAAAATTAGGATATTTACAGAACATTTTTTAGAAATATTTGTGTATAAAGTTTTTTGTCAAAATGTCAATTTTTCTTGTCATTTTTGTTCAAAAACTAAACAATTTTGATGAAAAAAGTTTGAATTTGTTTTAAAAAAATGTTACCTTTTCCTGCATGGTTCTCAGAAAAATTTGGGAATTTATAGAACATTTTTAGAAATAATTGTGTATAAAGTTTTCTGTCAAAATGTGAATTTTTCGTGTCGTTTATGTTCAAAAAATTAAGAATTCAGATGAAAAATGTTTGAAAAATTATTTTTCAAAATGTTATCTTTTCCTGCATGTTTCGCATAAAACTAGGGCATTTAGAGAACATTTTTAGAAATATTTGTTTTCTGTCAAAATGTGAATTTTTCAAGTCATCGTGAAAAAATCCATAAAAATAA